GCCGGTCCTGGCAGCCTCCGCAGGCGAATCCTGCAGCCGCCTGAATAGGAGCGTATAGGAAATGAATGGTGTATAGTCGCAAAATGTGTCACATTATGTAATAAAGTAATGCATTGAAGCGGCTTGCGCTTGCCGGGGGTCTTGTTCTTAGTGCGGTTAGTGCGGAGGTGCTCTGGGCGCTGATAATAGCAAAGCCCAGTCTCGTCCAAGACAGGAAGATGCCCCATACGGAATTGGACTGGGTCGGTGGCTGGCTCATAGATCTGCTGTCGCTTTCGGCATCGTCCTCCATTAGAAGGCACCAGTGAGCGTGACTTCTGGTGTTTCCGCTTGATGCCCGGCTCAGCCAATTGCTTGGGAATGTCCAAACGCTGCCATCTCGTAGTCGAATCAGGGGTGCGCAGCGGATGCAGTCCTAGGACATGCCAACGCGAGTCAGCAGAGAGGCTGGAATACTTCCGCCTGGGTTTAGGGTTTAGGGTTTTAAGGGTTTAGGGTTATTAAGGGTTTAGGGCTTCTGAGGTCTGGGGTTTAGGGTTCAGGGCTTCGAAGGTTTAGGTTTTAGGGTTTAGGGTTTAGGGGGGTGTTGTAGTTGTAGGCCTGGACTGCGGGTTTAGGGTTAGGGCCGTTAGGGTTTAGGGCTTCTAAGGTTTAGGTTTTAGGGTTTGGGGGGTGTTGTAGTTTTAAGCCTGGACTGCGCTCCTAAGGTTTATAGGCCTCAGGATTTACGGTTTAGGGAGGAGGGTGAAGGTTTAGTTTGGGGCTTGAAAATATATAGAAGTTATGTATTTTTTTCGGGGAAGACTGGTACATCAAACGACATTGAGAGTTCTATGCTATAAACATGCGATTAGGCTCAATAACGATCAGATTTGGAGCTTCATGCTATAGATACATTCAGGGACCCAGGGCAGTTCATCTACAGGGACAATTGCGGAAGAGCATACTAACGGTGTCCGTTGAGGTGAGGATTACGTTTATATTGTACGGGTTTCAAAACCTAAAACCCCAAGGGTCTTAGGTACTGTTGAGGGGGATGCTTTCCCAAATCACTATAGTAGTTCCTACTATAGAACCGTACATTCTACTATATAGGTACTTAGGACCCTTTGGGAAAATAAGTTTTATAAGCTTGAAGGACTGCCGTTGGACTGCCACTCAACCATGAATGCTGCGGTAACTGTCCTTGGCTCGCTCGCTTCATCCACAGCCGAAAGCCGCCCGGTTCAAAATTTGACAGGGTTGCCGGGTCGCATCACTCCGGGCTACAGATAGGACGTGTAATACCTCGCCGGGAGCTTGGCATTTGTACCCCTCCTGTTGATGCCGCTTCGACTGAAGAGCTGTCTGAGCTCTTTGACCGTTTTGCCTTCCAGGTCATCCTGGAAGAGAGGCCGCGACAGCGAACTTCGCACCCCATTCAGCACTGCTTTGAAAGGGATTTGGGGTTCATAGGGCCTCGGAATCACAATCCCTAAACCCTAAACCCAGTGGTCCTAAAAAGGTCATCCTGGCACCAGACGGGTCGAGGCTCCCTTTATGGATCTCGGGTTCATCAGTTCATCTGCACCTGTCGTAAGGTCACCATACCCATAGGCCCCATAGTAGTTCCTTTTTGTGGCTTATATTTCGGATCCTATTAGGTACTCCCAAAAAGGAACTGCTATGGGGCCTATGGGTAGACCCTAGACCCTATAAGGCTTAGGGTTTAGGAAACCCTGAACCCTAAACCCTAATGCCTACACCCCTTAACCCAGCTCCCTGCAGCCATCTCCAGGGTTCGGGGACTTTGGGGCATTTTCAGGGCTCAGGGATTGGTGGGGGTTGCAGATGATACCCTGAATCCTAAACTGCGCGGAGCTGAGTCGCGGTCCACAAGACAAGCCGGATCTGCAAATCCAACATACTAGGGTTTAGGCTAGTTTAGGGGTTCCTGTGGAAGGGAAGACCTACTGTTCTAAGGGGCTTTACCCTCTAATTAAGCGTCATAAACTGCTGTCTTGCAGGGTTTGCGGCTGCAGGTATAGGACGTAGGATCTCGGGGTTGGGGTTGCTGCTTGAAGCCTAAAGCTACAACATCCGACAAACAATACCCTGAAAATCCACGTGTTGACCAACAGCAAAGAACCTCATCCCCTCATCCGACAACATTCCCTAAGGGTCCATGTACCCAAATAGTATATACTTTGGCCTTAATGTAGTCCCTATATAGGTACTTCAGGGCCAATGTATATACTATTTGGGTACATGGACCCTTAGGGAAATGGAACACACCTGAACCCCAAAATCGTAGAACCTCGACCCTCTGCCTAACAGTAAAAAGCCCTCAAACGACAAGGCAAAAACACAAAATATGCCTGAACCATAAGGCCCATATAGGCCCCATAGTAGTTCCTTTTTGGAGCTTATATTTAGGGTCCTATTAGGTAATCCCATAAAGGAACTACTATGG